GCTCCTGCTGGTACCCCTCGCCCACGCTCAGCACCGTGCTGTGCTCGGGGCTGGCGGGGGCCGGGCTGTCCCCTGTGCCCAGCTTACGGTACCCCCTGGCCCTGTAGCGCCGGTGGCCGTACCAGGCTGTCCCCAGGCCGGTGGCTAGCCCGGCCAGCACGGCCACGGTGACTCCAGCCACCTCTCCCCCTGACAGCCCCCGGGCCCCGACCATTTCGGCCACGTGCCGCGCCTCCTCCGGCCGTGCCAGCCGCCACACGTGGCTCTGGCCGTCCCTCACCCAGGTGCTGTCCCCGTCCCGCACCAGCAGCGTGTCCACGGCCGGCAGGTCGGCGGGGGGCCGGGTGAAGGGGGGCAGGCGGGCGGGCGGCAGCGAGCCCCCGGTGAGGAGCCCGGCCTGGACGCAGAACTGCACCTGGCAGCTGTCGCTGATGAGTGCCAGGTGCTGGCTGAAGCCCGGGGGACAGCCCTTGGCGTGGGGGTCCTCGGCCGTGCCCCGGTGCTGCCCAGCCAGGGGGTTCCCTGCCTGGCAGCTGAAGAAGCCCCCGAAGGGCACCGCGTACTCGGCCCCCGCCTCGTAATCCTGGCTCACGCACACTCGGAGCTCGCCGAAGAGCTTCAGTGGGAAGTAGCCCGAGGGACAGGACTGGGCTCCGGTGATGGGGTTGGCGCCGTGGGTGCTGAACAGCCCCCCAAAGAGGTATCCCGAGTTGGGCGCCGCCGGCCCGCTCGCGGCGCACCAGTAGGCGCTGAACTGCACCCGGGAGAGCCAGAAGACGTCCTGGCACTTGCGGTGGCAGAAGATGCCCAGGGTGCACTTGTTGTGGCACTCCAGGTGGCTGTGACCCTCCTCCCGCTCCTGCACACCCAGCAGCACCGGCGTGTAGGCGGCGGGGCAGGAGAAGGCCCCGGTGAGGGGGTTCCTCTGCTCCAGCGCCCGGCACAGTGCGGCGGTGTCGGGACCGCCCAGGCCCACGCACTCCTGGAAGACTCCCCCGAAGGTGAAGTTGGCCATGGTGCCCTCGCAGGAGCCGTCGTCAGTGTTGGCGTGGAAGTTGAAGTTGGGCGAGGCGGCGTCGGTGCAGCCCAGGGCGGTGTTGAAGGTGTAGTAGCGGCGGACGGCGAGCTCCACCCGCTGGGCCACCCTGCGCACCGTGGGCACCGGCAGCTCCGGCAGCGCGCTCGGCTTGATGAAGTAGTACAGGGGCAGCCCCGAGCGGTCCAGGGCCACCAGCTGGTTTTGAATCTTCTCCTGCCACGTCTTCAGGGTGATGCCTGGGTAAAAGGGGGTCCCACCGATGCTCTCCACCCTGGAGCTGGTGCGGTTGTCCAGGTACTGCTTGGTGAAGCCCGAGCTGACGTCCAGGGACTCCTTGGTTCCCACACTGACGATGCTGTGGAAGGCCACGCCGGCCGAGGCGGTGACGGTGTACCGTGTGGCCCAGCTGTCCTTCAGGAAGGTAGCTTTGATCTGGTCCTCCTGCACCAAGGTGGCTCCTGCATCCACGGAGGTGATGGCGTGGGTGCCGTAGTTGAGCACCAGCACCTCGGCCAGGAAATCGGCCATCTGGGTCTGGTTGTTCTCCAGGTGGCTGGCGATGGTCAGCAGCTGCTTCTTGAAGGCCTTGTCCAGGGCCGCCTCGGGGTCGATCTTGGCGGTGTAAACCAGGTTCCTGACCTGCACCCGGGTGGTGACAGCCTTGTCCCTCACCTGGTGTGTCTTGGTGCGGTGGAAGTCGCTGGAGAATTTGCCGTTGATGGAGGAGAAGAGGGACAGCTCCAGGTTGATGGAGGCAGAGGTGATGCTCTGGTAATCCTTCCAGGACTCGATGATCTCGGAGTTGATGTCCAGGTTGCTCTGCTTGCGGGGGATGGTGAAGACCTCGTCTGGGATGAGGTAAGATCCATCTTCTGTGGTCTTGCACTGTGAGTAGCCCAGGTTGATGACTCTGCCCATATCCAAATTCCTGAGGTTATCCCAGCCCCCCCCCGGCAGAACTTCCAGACGTGAGAGCTTCAAGGTCTCGCTGCACACCCCAAATCCTGAAGAGGACGAGAGTTCCTGGGGCTGCTCAGCCCCTGTCAGCCAGGCCAGCAGTGCCCAGGTGAGCGGGACCCCCCAGAGCCCCCAGCCCATGGCCGAGCCGGTGCCGGGCCCTCACCAGTGGGAGCGCCGGGACCGGAGCTGGGAAGATGAGCTGGCTGAGGGAATTGACAAAAGGGAAAGGAGAAGTGAGAGCTGAGGCATGTGAGAAATGACAGAGTGGAAACCGAGAGCAGGGGGTGGGGAGCAGGAAGGTGTCTGTCCCTCCCTCTGCCCCACTGGCGACTCCGCAGCCTCCTCTGCCCCACTCCCGTCCTTCCCCAGGGTCTGCAGTGTCACCAGCCGGGGACAGCACCTCCTGCTCGGGAACGCTGAGCCGCAGGTGCTGGGGACACTGATCCAGCTCTGCCCAGCTGGGCTTCGGATTCAGCAGCACAGGGCAGGTGCTGCAACTTTTGGGGAATAAACAGTTAAGGAAGTCTCTGCTGTGAAACGGTGACTCTTTCCATATAGACAGATTCACTTCCCCTGGTTTTGCTCCTGAGTTCCTCTTTGCAGGACACTTCTCCCTGGGAGGAGGCTGAAGTGACAGCCGTGATGGAGGCATAGGGCCCCTAGGTGCCTGTGTTTTTTGGGCAGGACAATGCCAGGAGCGGGGGGTGAAGGGATAACAGGAACACCATCGCGGATGTTTGTTGGGGAAGATGAAACAGGAAAGCCTTATGAATATGATTGCCTGGCAAAAGAGTTTGAGAATATGGAAACTATAAGCAAGATGGAAATGAAAGGAAGCTTTGAGATACCTTAGTTACTGAACAACTGGAGAACAATGGTATGGCCAGCTGAAGGTAATCCCCATTTGATGAAACAATACCCTCAGCTTGCAGACAGGCCCGAGGGTCAGAGCAGACCCTACTAGCTGGGCAGAAGGGGTCCAAAGAGCAGTTTTTAGGGTTTAAAATGTAACACAGTATGGTAATGTAATGATTCTTACAGGCTGTATGTAAATGCTATAATATTTGTACCTTGTATCAGATTGGTTATTAAGAATTAGAATATTCAACACAGAAGAAGATTTATTGTATTGCAATGGGAACCATTCATTTATTCTCTCTTTACCACGCTCTTGCATTCATTCTTTTTACTCTTCCTCTCTCTCCTTCTCTCTCTCCCACTCTCTTTCCCTCTCTGGGGCTGCTCAGAGCTGTGGCTGGCAGCTCCCAGAAGGGCCCTGCACCCACGCCCTCTGCAATAATCCCCAAATCCCAAGGCCTGCCTTCAGAGAGCTCTCGTCTCCGTCTGTCCCGGCCGTCCTGACCCCCAGCCGCTCCCACAGATGTTCTTGCTGGCTCCAGCCCCTGGAGTAGCTGGAAAACCCCCGAGCAGGGATTCTCATCTGCACCAGGATGTGCAGGCTGTGTGGTCACCTTCCCTAAAACCTACCCACCCTGCCATGGAGGCAGTGGAATGTTGCAGTTTTCCCCCCCAACACTTTGAGGTGGTGCTCTGAGTTAACCTATTCCTGCCTTGCTTCCAAGGGTGAGATTCCCATCAGTCCCAAGGTGAGATTCCCATGGCATCTCTCCTGGGCAGTGCAGCTGGCCAGAGGTCCCTGCTGGCAATGTGACAGCAAAAACCCCACAGCTGAGGGTAATCAGGGATTTTGGGGATGGAGAGTTTAATGGCACCAGCTGGCAGCTGTGCCTGTTCAATTGATGCAAAAGGAAATCCAAGATTTCTCCAGAGGGACTGTTTTTCCTGGCTTTGTGTAAGCAGAGACACCTTTTTACCATCAAGTGAGTGAGGTTTGGGGCTGTGTTTCCAGTTTGCTCTGTAAACTTCCAGGCGTTCTTTCAGCTCCCCTGGCTGGGCCAGATGTGCAGCAGCAGTGCAAGGGAGCACAGACTCCATCACGGCCCAGCCGTGTCCAGGAGGGCCTAGGGAAGGGATCAGACATCTCCTGGAACTGGGGAGTCCTCTGCCTGGAGTGGAGGGGGAACGTGGTGGGGCCTCAGGGAAAGATGAGACACCATCCTTGGGGACACTTCCCGTGCCGTGGGGCAGCTGCCCGCCTGTGGGACCGGAGCTGGGGGGACTCCAACGCTTTGGGGGGCTGCCCGGGCCTCGATTTCCCCCCCTCCTTTTTAGGGATATGTCCATGTGCTTCTTATGGAAGCACTGAGCTGCTGGCCAGGGCACTTGGACGTGTTTTGTGCTTTCTCTGGGGGTGAGGAAAATGAGAAGTGTGTGAGTCTGTGAGGTGATGGTGTCATTTGGGGCACCCCAATGTCTGTGGTGTGAGAGCTGGTCAGTGGGCAATGAGGAGGAAACAGCTGGAATCCCCCAAAAAAGGGAGGTTATAGCCCCAAAATACCTGAAAATTGATTTATGTTGAAAGGAGTCTGTGAGGTGATGGTGTCATTTGGGGCACCCCAATGTCTGTGGTGTGAGAGCTGGTCACTGGGCAATGAGGAGGAAACAGTTGGAATCCCCCAAAAAAGGGAGGTTAGGAGGTTATAGCCCCAAAATGCCTGAAAATTGATTTATGTTGAAACCACTAGAAAGTGTAAAGAGTCTCATTTATGTATATATAAACCTGTTATTTATTTCAAGATAAATATGCTGTGTTACAGACGGAATTTCAGATAGTAAGGAATTCTGTATATGGATCCATAGGGTTTGAAAATAAAAATACAAGGTTTTAGGTATATAAATGAAACAATAAAGGGCTTGAAATAGTTAGACAAGATTATCTGTATGACGGACCTAGAAACAGCTCTGTGTACGCGGAGTTCTTTCTCCCTCCTCCCGCTGGAACACCCGAAATCCGGGATTTGGGATTCACTGAAATTGGGATTTATTGGCACCCCTAAAACCGCTGCGCATGCGCTGTGACCGGGGCCCCTCAGTGCTGCCGCCTTGTGGACACCCCCGGTACTGCAGCTCCGGGCGCTTCCCGTGGCTCCGCCGGCACCGGGACCGGGACCGGGACATGGAGCTGGACCGGGATCGGGACTGGAGCTGGACCGGGACCGGGACAACGACGGGGACTGGCCGTGCGAGGTCGCGGGGCTCTCGGCCGGGGCCGCTCCCGGCAGGAACCGCGGCCGCTGTGCCGGGAGCGCAGGCGCGGAGCCGGGAGCGGCGATGGCGGAGCTCGGGGAGCGGCGGGGCCCGCGGCACCGGGCTCGGAGGTGAGCGGGGAACGGGGACAGCCCCGAGCGGGCGGCGGAGACGGGCCGGAGCGACCGGGGGAAATGGGGGGAGTCGGTGTCCCGGCGAATGGATCCGAGTTGCGGCGGAGGGCTCGGTGTGCCGGCAGAGGGAAAGCTGGCTAAAGGATAAAGATGCAGAGGAACAAGTGTTGTAAACCCCCCTTGCTCTCTGACAGACCAAACCTTGCAGTAATCCCAGTACATCTCTCTGAGAGACTCTGGGATCATAAGGTCTTCCAGGAAAGCGAAACAAACACAGAGATGAGGGAATAGGCTTCCAATTAATAATTGTTTGATGGGTGTAGGAATGATTCTTGTATGTTTTACACTCCCCTTTTAAATCCTGCTATAATTTTAAAATTATTTCTTTAACAAATGATCTAAATTTGAGAGAAATGGTGCAAAATGAATGCATGGAGAGACCATGGAATCCCCAATGGTTTGAGTGGGAAGGGACCTTAAGGATCACCTCATTCCATCCCCTGCCATTCCATCCACAGCCCAGGGTGCTCCAAGCCCCATCCAGCCTGGCCTTGGACACTTCCAGGGATGGAGCAGCCACGGTTTCTCTGGGTTTGTGGGCGCAGGAGGAAAGTTCCAGCAGGAGCTGAGGATTCCCTTTGCTCTGTCCAGCCCCAGCAGGGCTGTGGGAGCAGAGGATGTGGGAGCAGGAGCTTTGCCCACTGCCTCGGGGGAGTCTGTGCTGTCCCAGCCCCCAGAGCAAACGTTTGTGGTTTAACATCCCGTTCCAAGGAGATGCCCGGCCGGGAACGGGAATGGGCCGCGGAGCAGGGACGGTGCCGGGCAGAGGGGTGACATCCAGAGGGTGCCACCAGTCCGTCCCTGCTGCCCAGCTGGGGATGAGCAGGCTGGTGACTGTCCCTGTGCTTGCTCTGCAGGATGAGGAAGGCAGCCCTGCCGAGGAGGATGAGGAGCTGTGGGAGGATGGAGAGAGCGGCCACCAAAGGCTGGGGACGGCTCAAGTCCAGGTAGGAGATGCTGCCTTCCAAGGAGAGGGACTTGTCTGTCCCATTGGAATTTGGGGTGTGAGGCCAATGGAACAGAGGGTTTGATTCCATATTCTTGCTCACATTCTCATGTGCCTTAGGAGGTATTTGTGGAAAGGTCACTTTAGTGAGCTTGCACTGGATTTGAAGGAATGTGACCCCTGGGGCAGAAATCCCTGCACAACTTCTGTGTCCCCCCATGGCTCATCAGAACAGTTCATGGGCTGGGCCTCCTTTTTTCCTCCTTCTCCAGGCTCTGGATGAAGTCCTTCCTTTCCCAAGGGAGGGGAAAGCCCGTAGGATGTGAACCAGAGGTGGTGCTTTAGGAAAGCCCCTCCAGCCTGGGAAGGTGCTTTTGGCTCCAGACACATTCCCAGAGCCCAGGAGCAGCAGGAGCTGTGCTGTGCCCAGCAGGTGAGGCAGAGCTGCCTTTCCTTCCTTCCCTGCTGCACTTTGGCTTTTTGAGGGATCTCTGGGGCTCTGAGGGAGAAGTTCTTTGTCACTCCAGGGCAGAATTAGCCCTGCTCCCACTAAAAGCAGGAGGGGTCATTTTATCCTTGTTTTTGGATACAGGTTTTGTGTTTTCTCCCTGTTGCTGACACCGTGTGGTGAAGCAGCAGCTCCCAACCTTGTCAGTGCTGCTCCAGGTTTTGTTCATAGCTGGTAAACAAGAAACAGTGATTTGCTGCCCTGTGGTAATTGGATTAAGGACAAGGCCTCCCTCTTTGTTTAATATTCCAGAGAAAAGCTGCCAAGGAATAAAGCAAGAGCTTTCCCCAGTGAAAACCTGCCCAGTCCCATGCTGGGTTTCCACACACACAAGGTTCAATCCCTGCTGGAATCCCAGTCACAGCCTCCAGATCAATGTGCAGTTTAAGGTCTCACAGCCTGACCAGGACAATCTCTTGCCTCTGGACATGGAAAATCAATTTTTCGTTGTTACAGCACCAGCTCCAGGTAATTATGAAGTGGTGTAATGGTTTTTAAGTTGTGCACATGGAGGAAATTCACTGGAGCAGCCAACACTGCTCCACCTTCATGGACAAGCCTCTGGGTTTGGGATCTTGATTTGTGGGTGTGAAATCTCCTCACAGGATCCTCTGAGGCTGAAACAAAGACAAGGAACCTTCTGAGATGGAAAGAGCCAGAGCAACTTGTTGTGGGAAAGGAAAAGGAAAGATGGTAAGTGCCAAAACCTTTGTTCTTCCCTTCTCCTGGGCTCTGTACTTGGGAATGGGTCAGCTCTGGAAATTTCCTGGAGACACTGGAGAATGATCTCTGGTCTGCTTAAAAGTGGGAAAATTCCACTGGCAATTGCAGCCCCTGAGGGGGGGCAAAAAGAGCAGGACCTCAGTCTGTGAGTGTGTGAGAAATAAGGGAGGGACAAATGTCTGGATCATCCTGTGCCTCAGGGCATCAGGAAAAGCCCTTGACCCAAAATCTGAAGTGCTGTTCCACAGGGAGCCCTGGGAATTGGGCTCATCCCAGCTTCCTCACTGGAATTTGGACCGACTGGGCACTTTGCTGTTTTCCTGTAGGATGTGGGCCGTGACATGAATTGGCTCCAGCAGGGCCCAAGATCACTCTGGGGTCTGTGGCAGGGACAGCTCCCAGAGCCAGACAGGGAAGGGGACCTTCACCCACACTCCCAAAAAGCTGAGAAGGAAAAACACCTGCCTGCAGCTGGCTGCAGCTCCTGGCACACTCAGGGACATGGGGTAGTGCCAGAATAATTTAAACCTTGGGAATAATGGAATTAATACCACCCCTTGAGCTCCTGCCCATCAGCCACTGGCTGCAGATGGCTTGGAAGTGATGGAGGCATTCAGGGAATGCTGATTGTTTTTCCCTTGCTTTGGCAATCTGGTCAGCAAAAATGCTAATTGAGCTCTTCCAGCAGGGAAACATTTAAGCAAGAGGTGCTGAAAAGAATTGGAGTTTCTGATTTTGAGTCTCCAACTTCAAATCCCCCTGGATTGTCACCGGTCCAACTTGCATGGACTGGTCACCGTGGCCAGGAGTGTCCAGTCCTGCTGGAATGCACTGGAGCAGGATGTCATTTTCCTTTTGTGCTGGTAAAGACCCTCTGGGTGACCCCCAGTGACTGGAAGGACCAGACTGGGCTCCCAGGGCACTAATTCCAGGGGTTCTGTTTTTGGGAATAGCACAGGAGCCGTTCCCTTGCCCAGAGGAGCAGCCAGTGCCTCCCTTAGTCCACAAATCCCCAGGACTGACCACAGAGAAAATGACAGGAATGTGGAAATCGCCCGCACTGGGAGTTTGTGGTGCTCTGGATGACATCTTGGATTTTTAATGTTAAAGGGGGTGTGGAATGAATTCTCTCCTTTTTATTGTCATTGTTATCACTGCTCTTGTTGCTATCACTGCTACATGCTGTCATCAATATTAAATTATTATATTGGTTTCCATTATTGGTCTTGGTTTCCATTATTAAACTGTTCTGATCTCACCCCCCGAGCTGGGTTTTTGTCTCTGGTCTCTTCCCCATCCCACGGGATGAGGGAGCTGCTGCTGGGGCCCAGCTGGGTCTGCCCATGGCCCGGGGCACTTCTGGGGGCTCAAACACGGGACTGGGGCAGTTTTGGGGCTCACAGAGAGACACCCAGTGCTGGGGTTTGGGGGCTCAGAACTGGGCTCATTTGGCCAAGTACAGAGACACTAAGTCCTGGTTTTGGGGGGCTTGAAACCATGGTGCCTGAGACAGCATTTGGGATCTCAGAGGGACCAAATTCTGCATTTTAGAGGCTTGAATCAGAGACCATGTCCTGTGTTAGGGAGGTCTTGAAGCCGGGGTCAGTCAGCCGGTGTTTGGGCTTCACCAAGAGAGATTTGCGCTGCATTTTGGGGGGCTTGATTGAAAGGCCAAGTGCCGTGTTTGGGTGCTCCGGGCGGGCTCTCTCGGCCAGGCCGAGCCCGTCCCGCGCTCCGAGTCGAGCCCCAGCCCAGCCCAGGCCCGGGCTCCCCCGGCCGCAGCGGCAGCTCCGGGGCCGCGGCCGAGCGCCGCGGGCGGGGCGGGGCCGGAGCCTGGGGGGCTTGATTGAAAGGCCAAGTGCCGTGTTTGGGTGCTCCGGGCGGGCTCTCTCGGCCAGGCCGAGCCCGTCCCTGCGCTCCGAGTCGTGCCCCAGCCCAGCCCAGGCCCGGGCTCCCCCGGCCGCAGCGGCAGCTCCGGGGCCGCGGCCGGCGCTGCCCCCGCCGTTGTGTAAGCCGAGGGGCCGCGGGGCTGGAGCGGCGAGCGCGGTACGGGCTCGGAGCGAGGCGCGGTTAATGTTCAACGCGGCCGTCACATGCCCAGCAGCGAGTTCTTGAGGAGTGTTTCCAGAGGCTGTCTGCCTGGAACAGGAAATGCCAGTACAGGTAGTGCTGGAGCTGTTTGAAATTTAAGCAGTTTGCAGCGTTTTGGTGGCAGAGTTGTTTTGCTGTGTGTTCTCGTACAGATGGAGTTTCAGAGGCGTGTGGGTAGATGTATGAGAATGTATGCAAATCACCTGCTTAGCATCAGGTCTAAGTTTACCTATATCCCTTACTTTGATTTTCAATGCAAATATTTTAAAATCAGCTTTTCAGAGGAACCATGACTTGTTCTCTCAACCTACATTTTTCCCTTCCCAGAATAAGTGTGAGTTTTACATATCTCTACTTAGTGCTTTATTTTGCTCATGCAACCCCCTACCAAAATCACCAAACGCTGAACCACTTAAGCTTTCCTAACTTTGAAGCTACCAGGATTATTTTAAGAACAACAACTTAATCGTGCAAACAGCATTGTGCCTGATTCATGATGCCCTTCCACCCCAAGGCAATGGAAAATCCCTTGACTCTTTTTCTGATTACCTGCTCTTTTCTTATAGGATGAAAGGGTGGTTTTGCGTGTCAAAATAGTGAGACCTCATGTTATAAACTGACTGTAAATTAGCCTTGTCAAAATGTAGATAATCCTTTCTTCCCCTTACAAATTGTTACAAAGTAAGAAGTACTTGGTTTGTTTTTGTTTTTGTTTTTTTTTTGAAGTATCAAATTACTTGTATAAAAAGTTATTATTCTTGACCAGTGGGATGTTGACAGTAAAAACAGAAAAAATATGCACTTGACTTTCAAGCTATCAAGCCTTGATAGTGCAGAATCTTTTTTGGCCAAACAGTATGCATGGTGTGCCACTGACAAAATGATTTGCAAGTGTGACCCAGAGGGTGTCAGGATATTGCCACTGTCCTTGTTTATTCCTTGGTTTATGGCTCTTGATAGAGTAAAACAGTCACTGAGGGATGTAGTGATGCGAGCAAAACCCATTCACAGCGTTCTTGACAAGCTTCATGGTTGGAGCAGAGACAAGTAGGAGTTTGTTGGGGCCAGGTTAAATGATGATGGGTTGAGGCTGGATCAGGATTTTAGATGTGTGGACTGAGTGAAGTGTTTCTAGGAAGGTTTGTACAGGATATGTTAATGAAGAAATATATGAGGTATAGTGATTCAGACATTCAAGCACTTTTTTTGACAAACCTATAAAATATGCGTGGGTTTAAAGATCATGCTGACATTACCATTCCTTGTAACTCTAGTTTTGTCATTTTTTTTCCTGGTGACTTAAGAAGTCAGAAAGCTTTTTGAGGAAGAGGAGAACTTGGTATTTTGCACTTCTGTTAATGATCAAACATCTGCGCAGATCAAACAGCTGAAAAGCCAGGCAATTAATCTGAGACAAAAAGGCAAGTGTGAGTATCACTGTAAAGATACATTCTATCTTTCTGAGGCTCAGGAAAGGGTACATTGTAGTCTTTGAATAATCACATGTAAAGCAGTAGGAAGATGGAGAAACAAAAATCTCCGTGGTGTCTGTGTGATGATTCACTGTAAATGCTGGCCCATGTCATGGGCTGGGAATTTGTGTTCTCCAAGATCTTTACTCAGAGTTCCCATTGCAGCTATTTCTAAAGTCGGTTTCTCCTTGTGACAGATGAGGGAGGCTGAGCTGTGAACCTGTTGTTTTGGTTTTGATGCAAACAGGAAAGTTTTTATTGGAACAGCTTAAAGCAAAAAATGGTGCACTTACACAAAAGCCATCTGGGATAGCATCTAGGCTTCTGGTTCTCCATCCTGGAAGGGAACAGAGACGTGTGACGTGCAGGAGCAGTGGTTTGTCGTAGGAGGGACAGCTAAATAGGCAAGGGCTCCAGAAGAGACAATAGAGATCCTGAAAAAAGAAAAAAGTCTGGGCTGAAAATCTACGAGGATGGTTTGGAAGAATTTCTGGAGGAGATACCATCCTTTGGTGTCTTGGGGACTTTTTGAGTCCATGACAGAAGGAGAAAGAATGTGTCAGACCAATACCAGCCAGTGGTACCTACTGATGTTGGCCTTTTCTTGTAGTGTTGTTCTTGTTTCTTATGTGTGTTGCATGTAAGTGCTGTTAATGAAGTTTTTTTCCCTCCCTGATGTTTAAAATAGTGAGAATTTGCATTCCTCTAAATGTATTTCTGCGACACCTTCCAAGGACAAAGGCTGATGGCTACTAAAAGCATTTACATGTATCTTATGGTGCATGAGATTTGTTGAAAAATAAATTTAACATGGGGGCTTAAAGGTGGAAGGAGACAGGATCTGTGCAGGGGCCAAAAATTATGATTCAGCCTCATTGAGGTGGGTGTAAGAGATGACTCCTTTCAAATTTTGGTCTTTTCCTGCATTTTTAAAGCAGCTTCACTGTTTATTTCTTTCTTCAAATGTCGGGAAAAATAATTACAGCCTCCAGCACTGTCACAATGCAAATCAGATTTTCGTTCAGTTAACAAGATTTGGCAATTTTAAACTACAACCTTTTGAACTGAGGAAAAAACACTCCAATTCTTGCAGTTGCAAGTTGTTGAAATTTTGATGAATTTCATTCTGTTAAGGAGGAGACAGTAACCCCAGTCCTAATAATACTGGCTCATTGCAGAGAATTTTAGTGGTTTCCTATCACAGCTTTATTCCCTCATAATATATTTCATCAGTCTTCCTTCACAATTTTTGTTGTCTTGCGTCTAAATTCCTAAGTTACATCAGTTTAGGAATTGATTTCCCTGAGTTGTCAGTGTGTTGGGTGGGGTTGCCAGGCTCAGCACAGAGGCATGAACTGCAAGCAGAAGCAGAATGCTTAAAAGCAAGCCCAGCACTGGGCATGAGAGAGGTTTGCCATTAGTAATTTGTGCAACACACTGAGAATAGTTGCAAAGTGAAGCCGAGAAGATGTAAATAACTATTCTTCAGCCAAATTTCAGGGATAGAAGCAGTCAACAACTTTTGAACTTGTTGGCAGGTTTTCATTCAATTTGACAGAAGGGATAGAAGCCTCAAAGATGATTATGTACTTAGAAAGTGCATGAAAAGAGGCAGCTGGCTGGAAGAGAGAGACCTCGTAAGATGATGTGAGGAGCAGAGTTGGCTTATGCCCCAGCTAGGGAGAAAACTGCAAGAACTCAGCCATGAGGCAGAAAATTATCAGGAGCCCAGGCACTGGTAGTTCCAGTGTTCACAGAGCCAACTGTTTATCTCATCAGTTTTATCTTGATGGATATCAGAGATGCTTAAACCCAAATGTGCCTGTAGAAAGTGATTGTTTAGGCAAAATTCCCCCGTGCCCGCACCCCCGGGGCTCCCGCCCCCCGGAGCGAGCGGGGCCGCAGCGCCGCGGGCCGGAGGAGCCGCTCCGGGCCGGGCGCTGGGGCCGAGCCCGGCGCTGCCGCTCCTGCTCCGACTGTGCCCGGCGCGGGATGGGGCCCAGCGGGGCTCGGCTCTGCTCGGGCCGCTCATCCGACACCTGCCGGGTGAGACCCGGTGCTCTCCCGCCTTTCCCCCGCTTTCCCTATGGGTTGCACTATCCAATGCAAAAAAAACCCTCTGGGTTCAAAAAGCCAGTGAAAAGGGTTTAGTCTTTATTTCCAGGTCATTGTGTATCCCGAGTGGGAAGGGGCACACAAGGAGCACCAAGTTGAACCCTTATGTGAAGGGCTGAGCTGGGGATTGAATCCACAACCTGGGCATTTTTGGCACCCTGCCAAAAAGCCAGTGAAAAGGGTTTAGTCTTTATTTCCAGGTCATTGTGTATCCCGAGTGGGAAGGGGCACACAGGGAGCACCAAGTTGAACCCTTATGTGAAGGGCTGAGCTGGGGATTGAATCCACAACCTGGGCATTTTTGGC